CTTCTTGTAAAATGGAAACGTTTGCTTCGCTGGATAATCTCGGTTAATCTGAAACTTTGTTTATTCGTGTTCTCATTAAATTGAAAACAGTTCCTTCTGAAAATAAAATACGATTTTCTGGTGTCCTCTTGATAAATCTGTTGCTTTGTTGGACATTAAAGCTCACAGGCTCATCTTGGGAGGATAAAATCAAACAGACGCCCTCTCATCGAAAAAGCTGGTGTCATCTAAAGAAGTGAAGACTAAATAAATTCTTAAAGCCAAGATCGTTACTTTTATGGCGCATGGATTTATCACAAAGCCACAAAAAGCTTCTCTCTTATAATTCAATCCCAAAGTACCCATTTTGCGGTAAGTAGCATCAATTCCTTACAAAGGTAAATTTTTCGTTTTGTTCGATGATTTGATTCAATTAAGACCGGACTAATTTTAGGGCATTTACATTTTTGTATTTGCTTGTACATAAATTCTCATTTGTATATACTTTGGGATAGTTTAAACGGAAAAATAGTAAAACCGATTATTGGAATTTAATGGTATTTGACAAAGAAATACTAACCATAATTTATGTATTGATGCTATTAAAAGAAAGAAATGAACTTTGGGCAGAAGGCGGCGATAGATGATGGATGAGTTGACGATTATTGTCCTACAATCAAAAGCGGAAATATTTACAAATCCAATTGTTTCGGCCAATAGAAATTTTTTAACTAACGACATTGAAATATGGAGCGTTTTTCCCGAAAATTCACCCCGCTATTAGATGTCGTTACTTAATACAATGCCTGTTGGTCTTTTCAGAATTATTACCCCATTCCTAGACGGCCAATCCCATAAAAAACAGATGGTCGCGTTCGTTTTTTCTGCTCTCGTCTGAAAGGGCGTTTCGGATTAACTATGAGTTGAAGTTCACTATAATTCGACAATTTTTCGCATTTACTTTTATAAGGATTCGATAAACGTGAACAATGTGAGATACTTATATTATTATTATTATAATTATTCTATTTACCAGAAGGAATATTTGTTTTCACTAATCTGAATAGTGATATTTTTTTCTGAGATAATTACGAAAATATATAAAAATATATTTTGAAAATTTTTTTCAATAAATTGTACTTTTGGCACACCAATAGAGAGGCGCGATTACAACATATGTTCTCGTTCATTCTCAGTTCTCATTAATAATAAATTTAATTTAATATTATTTATTAATATTAATTCTTCGTGCAAAACGTAATTTGACAAATCAAAGCACAACATTGTTTTGCATCCAACGCATTGATAAGTAACAACAAATATTACTGTAAAATCATAAACCTTGATTCTGCAGCTTTTTAATTAAACAGTTGTAAATTGGTTAAAACACGTGAAAATAAACGAAAACCATGACGAAATCCTTTTAAAATATAATACTTAATTTATTTTAATTTAAATTATATATATTATATAATTTCTTTTATCCAGAATGTTCGGTAATTTGCTGAACAATCGTTAAATGAGAGAGTCAAATGTATTTACATTTTCATACAAATCATCAGTTTTGCAATTTTTTTTCGTAGAGAATATGTTTACTAGTTGTTTCAAAAAAAAGCTAAAAAGCCCATTAAATTTGCTAGAATTTATATAAGGGGCGCTTTATAATAGCAATGTTCAAAATTTATTGATTTGAAGTTTAGTTTTCAGTCTGTTGAAGTTAGGACCCATTTGCAGTATTCCATCACAACTCAATGATCAATTTAACCTCTATTTATAAGTGTACGAAACTGTACAAAAATTGGCAAGCGACGTTATAAACCAAAGGTAAATTATTCGAGAAAATTGGGTAATTGACATGACTATTAGAAATTCAGAAGAACTAAATTTGCAGCTCTATTCGCATGTTATTGTAGGCCTGGGTAATTCAATGAATTTTTAGGAATGTCACGCAAATGGTTTGATGCGCCAATCCAACGCACCAGCGCAGTAACTCAGTTCCGTTGCTGTGAAAATGTTGATGACTTTTTTATTTGTTTTTAGATTTATTTTAAGGACCGTTTATCAATAATACTTTTAACACTTCAGCTAAATTTCAGAATTTTCCAGTTTTAACAAAGTTACTCTTTTTTCTAAATGCTCAATTTTCTAAAGATTCACTTAAAAATACTGACAATTTTAAGGTATTTTTGTCGAAAAATTATTAAATACATTTTATTAGAACACTGGCCTCCTTCCTCGCTTTGTAAAAAGTTTTGAAATCCCCTTCCAGCTTCGAATTTGGGACAAAAATCGAACAGAATAAGGGAAAGTTATAACAGATTATTTGGAAATCAATCTCGTCACCACCATTCGTCTCGCGACTGTAGAATTTGTTAAAAAATGTTTTTTTTTAGTTTCGACTGATTTTTTTTTGCTTTATTTTCTACTGAAGAACGCTCCATTTTGTAGAGTTTAACTTAAAAATACTGACGATCTGTAGGACTTTTACGCGAAAAATTACAAGATAAATTTATAGCTTTGTAAAAAACCTACAAAAACTTTTTGCAGTGTTGAATTCGGAACATAAACGAAAATAATTTTCTACCGTTTTTTCTCGAAAACCATTAAAGTTTTCTCCAATTCCGATCACAAAACTAAAAGTTTTTAGTCGAAAACGCAAAAAAGCAATATTTCCTGATGATTTTCTTCTTTCTTGACAATAATGGGGTGTTTTCATAAGCGAAAGTTTACAATAAATTATTTGGAAAACTCGTCACTTCCATTCCTCTCGCGACTGTAGAATTTGTTAAAAAATGTGGTTTTTTAGTTTTGACTACATTTTTTTTGCTTTGCTTTCTACTTAAAAACCCTCTATTTTGTAAAGGTTTACTTAAAAATACTGACAATCTGGCTGTATTTCAGTAGGTAGGAGTTTTACAAAAACCTTTTCGGAGTCGAATTCGGGACAAAAACGAAAATAAATCCAATCCCGCTTTTCCCGAAAACTTGTAAGGTTTTCGCAAAAACCGATCTCCAAGCTAAAAGTTTTAAATAAAAAACGCAAAAAAGTATAGTTTTCTGATTATTTTCTTTTTTTATGACAATAATCTTTGCACCAAAAATGACAAAATTAATTTTGCTAGAAAATTCGCCTCATTCATTCAGAAAACCCATTTCAACTTCGAATTTCGTCCAAAAACCAGTTTTTACCGAAAGTAATTCAGATTATCTAGAAGAAAAAAACGCCCAGAGAGCATAAGTTGCCAAAAAAATTGCAAAGCAAAATTGCTGCGAAAATTATAAAATACATTTAATACAATAATACAATAAACCTTTGTAAATTGTTTTCTGGTAGCTTTTGCAGCTTCGAGTTTTGGAGAAAAGCCTAATAATTTTTCCTGGACTTTTTCCTAGGATTTTTTCCCGAACAGAACAAGCGAAAGTTTATAATTAATTATTCGGAGAACTCGTCACTTTTGTCGTTGTGAATAATTTGGTTTATTTAAATTCCGGTTTCTTCACTTTTGGATCAATATTTCTAAGCAAAACCCTCTCTAAACAGAACAGCACGATTTTTCCAAACATTTTACTGTAAAATACTAACAAACTGAGAGTATTTTATCCGAAAAAAGTTAAAAGATGGATTTTACAAGAAAAGTCGTCGTCTTTACAGTTTTGTCTTCTTTATCGTCTTTTTCGAATACCCATTTTACCTTTGCATTTGGAACAAAATCTAAACAAAGCTATCTTGTTTTTTTTGACAGCATTTAGGTTTGCTGAACAAACGACCAGAAGAAGCAAAAGCATATAATCAATATTTGGAAAATGCGTCGTCTTCATCGCTCTAAAATTTTTTTAAGTTTCTTGAAAATTGCCGGATATTCCCGTTTTGAACCAAGTTTCAAGCAATCGTATGCGCAAAAGCAACATGTTTTTGTTGAATTCCGCCACCGGTCATGCGTTATAACTCATTAACCAATGAGTTAAATCTCATGAACTCAGAGAGCGGCACCAATTCAAAAGCGCAACTCAACACAGTGTTACTCAGTGGCCTATCTATGTTAATGGGAACGCAGCTAAGTACTTCATTAACATAATTAAAACTGATGTCGAGCCAGGATCCATGAAAAGATAGTGTATAGGGAACAGTCAACTTTCTGCTGATAATGGAGAATTGAACCTCTATAGAATTGAAGTGCGAATTTTTAACAATCGGGTCAGTGTGTAATTTTACCAGATAAAGAAATCGCTGGATAAAGAAAGCGATTATTATATTTATAGTCGATACTGTTGATGAGTTTATTGAGATGTGTTTGAAAAACTGCTACTGTTGCAAGTACAAGTTCAAATTTTGCTTTCTGGGTCAAAACTACTAGAATTGCCTCACTCAAGTTGTTATGACTGAATCGAATTTTCAATTCTGTCTATCCAACGATGCCAAAACGAATTTTGTGGCTCAAATGGTTCTTGAGAAACTTCGAAAAAACGCAGGGTCATGTTTGAGTCGATTTGGCAACTCAAATAAAAACACGCATATCCAAAACTTCTTGGAATCAAGACTTTTTTCAGAAAACTGCCAACATTTTTCGGTTTTCCAATTGACTTCTCGTGCCCGCTATTTCTTCTGCAACTCTTACATAAGGGATGAATACTCTTAATTTGGAGTGAATGTTTTTCTAGTAAATCTTTCATAAAATGGATATGAGATTCATGCGGGACATATGAATAACTCTCCAGGTTGTTGTTAAGTGACTTGGAAGTCATAAAAATGAATCACCATCGACCCTTTTTTTAGATCAGGCCCATGGAAAAAATAGCCAGCTGGCAGTCAGTTGCTGTTCTTGGAAAACTTAATAATAATAAAAACGGACAAGAGGAATTGCATGCGGCAAGTATGGGCCGGCATGTCCGAATGTGAGTCACTGAACCTACCCTAACACCGGCTTTTCTCTGCCTAATTAAAATGCCTAATGATAATATATTAATTGCAAAACATGCAGTGCAGGGTGCAGAGTGCGGCATTAACCGAAACGTGCCGACACAAAACGACCAGACGTCGCTAGTGGGAGTAAAGTTCTTCCGACGCCAGTCTATGTTGTAACGTCGAGACGCTTCTTCGGGGAAAAAGTTGGGGAAAACCTAGCGTCCGGACATCGCGGCCTAACGAAGAGATCGCGCGCAATTTCAAACACGAGAATTTTTCCTAATTACGACCATGGCTGACTATGGACACACCAATGCATGACCAATATTGCTTTTCAGTTGTCTTCCTCTGTCCACGCAACTAACAAACCAATCTAGGATTAGTGACTTTGGAAGGATTTGAAAATAACAATTTTGTGATTTTCATATATCGGCACATTGAGACTGGTTTCGGTTTAAATCAGTGCCGAATAGTGACTTTCGTAGTGTATTACACTTTCCAGTGACTGTTATTTATAGGGAAATTAGTGCCGCTTGGACTGCAATGGCAATGGGACATAAGCATATACTATTGCTCTTGGCAGTAATAGTTCAAGGTAATTAACACTAATTTTTTGGCGGGAGTATAGAAGGTTTTATAATTCGTCCCACACAGTTTTAAAGCGTGAATTAATTCCTACAATTTTTGTGACACAGTGTAGATAGTTATCACTGAAAAATAACATTGTCTCTCAATTCGTTCGGAAACACCGAATTTTAAAAATAAAATATATGGTAATTCCCAGTTCAGGCCAAATATGGGTTATTCCCCGGCATTTTTATGCCGTTTTATTGTAATTTATTTTTTAAATAAAGTGTTAGATTTTTTTTTTAATTTTTATTGCATGAAACACAAAGTTGGCTGTACCGTAACCGGTATCAATGGTATTCTTCGCAAAATCCACACTTCTGTTTTTTATTTTATTTTGCTTTGAAAAAAGTGATAAATGGTTCAAATAGCATTCGCGTGGGTAAACACCTTTCAGGTTTGAACAAAACAATCTTGGCATTATTGTGGTATTTTTATTTTGACGCAAGTCGTCAACAACTTCTTTTTACGTAAATTTGATTCCAAATTGTTTGTTATTCATTGATTTCTATTTCCATTGTTTTGTGGTGTTTTTTTTATCAATTTGCTGTTGCCTCTTATTTCTTCTACAACGCTTTAACTGAATATTATACTTAAGTACTTGTAATAAAAAAAAATAATTTTGCTTGTCGGTAAATACCTTTTATAATTAATATTATTAATTAACTTTTTATTGTCAATTATTCACTTCTAAATCTTGAAAAATTAATCTCAACCCCTCAATTATTTCACACATTTTTTAAACTGGTTTACAGTCGAAAATTTGAACATGCATAAGTACTATCGAATGGGAATATGAATAATGTTTGTGCAGTGGACACATTTATTGAATTACGGATTAACTTAAATTATTAATTAAATTATTAATACTATTTTCGCGGCATCATATGCATTAATATTTCATGTCGATACTGCTTGTAAAATGCGAAATAATTAATTTTAATTCCTCGTCATACAATCAAGCGAAACTTCAAGCTCTTTTTGTAGAGTTTGAAGGTTTTAAGCCACTTTTTTCGAGAGCAAAACCATCCCCTAGATTTCTGATACAGATTTCTCTATGAGGATATTTTTTCACACTTCCTCGTTACTTCTCTATCTTTTTCTCTCTCGTTTATATTTCCCTTAATTTTACAATCGTTTCCGAAATTTTGTCTCTATTTACTCCTCAATAATATTGCTTACGATGTAACTTCATAAACTGTTTTTTTTTTGGAGAGTTTTGAGCAGAAATGTTTTTGCAAGTAAGAATGGGTCCAAAAATGCTTTTTTTCTCAATTAACGGGGTGTTGAAATTGAAAAGCAAAAACGTTTTTTTGTGAATAACTCCATAATCTTTTTGTCGATATTGTTGAAATTTGTCACTGGGGTTTACATCCGAAAACAGCAAATTTTGCCCGAATTAGACTAAAATTATTAGGACCAGTAGCGTACCGCAGAACAACCTGAGCAATAATTTTGATCAAAAAATGTCAATTGTTTAATTTTTGGCTCGATTACGCAAGTTTCAGCAAGACTGGTTTTGGTTTGTAGACATTTATTCGTATTTTGCTGCTTTTTAGTGATAAAAAATAATCCACTTTGCTGCACATTTGTGCGACAGCATAAATAATTAATAAATTTAACCATCAATTTAATTGCCGAATGGTAATTGGTGGTTCAGTAATTACAATTACTCAAAAGTTACTTATTTACTTATGAAAAAAAAATTCGTACAAATTAAAACCTGTTTGCATAAAACAAGGCTGCATAAAATGATTGAAAAACTTTATTATTAAACACTCAATAATATAGAGTTTACAAATTGAAAAGAACAAATCACTTGCGAAGTAACGTTCTGAAGTTGGGCTACGTGATTATATAACACCCTGCAGTTAAAGTTGGCGATTACTGAAACCATACGAATTTTTTCAAGTGGATGATTTTATCACTAAATCTAAATGAAAAATGGATCCTGCCTATAACGCGTCGATAATTTCCACTTTCTTACACTTCATGTTTCTCCGTCTACCTCATCTTTACTTATACTTCCTCAGAAGTGAATGCCTACTTCCTGTGGTGACTTTTCCTTCGATCTTTTTATCGATCAATAGTCAATTTCCTTCGATCCTTTTACTCCACTCATGCTCCTCAAAAAGAAATAAATACCCGACATTTAAATTCAACGCCATAAAAAAGCATTCAGAGCCTCAAATCAGCAGTGTTCTGTGCTGAGGCCAAACCCCAATCCCAATTTCGTATGTGAAAATGAAAAACATAAATACTGCTCGATAACCGACCAGAATGGTCAATTTCCATTTTTATATTTTGTGTTGTATTTCGTTTAGAATTTTCTTTTGTTCGATTGCTATTATCGAAACCCAAATATCCAGTATGTTACACACACATTGATAAGCATGTTTTTAAAAACATGTTTTACATTCTCCTAAAGTTTAGGCTGCTGGCTGACTTACGCGTGCAAATATTAGGAGTCGAGATAGTTGAAAACATTTAACGAATGAAGGATTTAGTATAGTTTATATGAGGATTAGTTCTATACCTTGTTATGCTCTATAAAAAAGCCGCATCAATTTTATATATTTTTTTGTCACTTTGCTACTGTAAGCTCTTTTACTTTTTACTGTCGTTTATCTTTCAGCTTCTGTTTCTCTTGTCTTCTATTTTCTTTCCGTTCTGGAAGTACTTAGTTGCAAACTTAGATTTTTTTAGCTGCCGACCCAGTCACGTGCAATATGAAAACAATCGGATTTAAAAAGTTGCGTTGGCTTACATCTTGATATTTTATGTAATTTAATTATGCAGAGCTTGTTAAAAACTGCAGGTAGCCATCATTATTATTTTTATTCTTTAAGTTCCAGCTTTTTATACATTGCAGGACCGTTTATTATTAAAATAAATGCAACATTGCAAATTCAAGTAATATTCAATAATTTAAAATATGACTCAAACTGGAAAACTCGCTTGAGTTTTATCACCGTAGCACTGTTTTTGGATTTATGGCCTTAGTAGGTCATAGTAGGTAGACCCTTATCCATTATTTCCACCCCAGATGACATTTTATCGAAAGTATTTGCGGTACAGTTTGCAGAATTCAAGCCAAGTATGATAAACTAAACTAAAAATAGCTTATATAAAGCTTAAAAATAAGCTTTTAAGTTCCTCGAGATTGGAAGTTTTGTCCATATCAATGTGACACATATTGATCTTTTCATTATCTGCTAATAACGCAATTATGTGATTAAGCTACATTTACATGTAAATAATAAATATCTTATAGCAAGAGATAAAACCAAAATGTCCATTATAAATGTAAAATGTATGCCAATTTCATCTTCAAATTGCAACTTTTTCTTGAACAAAATAAAATTGTTGGACGTGGCTTGAATCTATTTAGCATTGCTTCCTTGATGTGTGCGGCCCATATATTAATCAACCACCCAAATGCCGCTTCCTAAATCTGTACATAATTTTTGATTTATTAATAATCGAAGCGTAGTTTAATAAATAAAAGGCTGGCCTTTAGAAATTACATGCTGGCTTCGGGATACACATAATTATCTGCCCATTTTGGATCGATTTAGTTGATATCCAGCAAACAGGAACACAGGTTAACTAACAGAAAATATCTTGAGTTAATCAATAAACGACTCCTTTGCTGGAATTGAAAAACACATTTTTCTTTCAGTTATCCGTTAAGATTTCGATAATAATGATAAAATATTTCGTAAACACTTTTACCATCAGGCAGGTTTTTACTTGTGTGTCTATTTGTCCATCTACAGATAGTTGCCACTATTAATTCAATTACTTCTGAAAGGCAAATCGTGTCCGAAACGATTAGCAACAGAATAAATAGCTTTTAGACGATACCAAAGTGCATTATCAAACATTGTCTAGAACTCTTAAAACGGGCTTAATGTAGTAGCCAACTAAATATTTAACAGCGATAAACACTAGCAATTAGGTTTATCGATATCAGTACTTCAATTTCCGAGGCAATTTAACAGAGCTTTCAGCGATGAAACAAGCTCCTAAAACATGTGCTCATCATGCGGTTTTCGCAGGAAGTAAAATTGTATTCGCAAATTTACTATCTGTTTGAATAATAGATAAGTATAATTTACATTAATCTGATGTAGCCAACGCTTGGTCAGTACAGGTTTCTTCAGAACAAAACGCTTTTCACAAATAGAGCAGAAAGCTCTCCATAAACTCCAACATAAAGTTTTACTGGAATTATCACAAATGCTGCTGAAGTTTTTGCTGAGAAATCGAGTGGAAAATGGAGAGTTTGAGTTTCTGCTTTTTTCCCAGAACACTTGGAAAAATGCAATGGGAAATCTGAACAACTTCTTTTTAAGAAATTAATATAAGCGCAACAGCTGTTGGTTTAGAAATTATCATTTTTGTTGCAACTATTTCTCTGTGTTCAATGTTTCTTGAATTTTTTAGTTAGCTTAAACTGAAAACATGAGCTTAATAAAATTTAAAACCATTACTTATCATAGTTGAAAATGGAAACCTTCAAAACATAGCGCTGAAAGTAACTACGACATTTTTGTGGAAACTTGGTGTATTAACTTGTAGTTAAATTAGCTCAGTTTTCGAACCCAAAATATATTATCCAACTAATATTTCGGCACAGTCAAAAACTCCCCAATCTGATTGACACTAAAAGATTTAATATAATGCTCTCAATATCCAGTATAGGAATTTCGTGAGATAATACTAGTGAAACTGCTAAAGTTCCTGAAGCGCTTGAGTTTAATAAAAATGGAAAAGTTCATGACATAAAGTACAAGAGATCTGACCTATGGCCATGTGAAAATTCAGCCACAGCAACCAATAGACAATTTTACGAGCGCATTTTCAAGTTTTGTCCAATTAATTCATACCTTGAAAATTTCGGTAAAGTGTACAACAAACATGTGTGATCCGCATGTTTAGAAACTGTAAAGAAAAGTCCATTTA